AACGTAGACATTCGGAAAATTTCACTGAAAATACAAGAAACGGTTATCCATTTTATTTCCATATTATTTCTTTTCAGAACATTATAGCTATATTTTAAAATATAACTGTAGCAATTAAGAAAAAAAAAGATAAATGGTTTAATTAATATCATCATTTTCCAGAGAAATGAAGATGATGATAAAAATAAACTTGAAAGGGAAGGTAGACGGGAGCTTCTAAAAGGGACGTAACTCTTACAATAACTAAAAGTTGTCTGTAAAAACAGACACGTCGATATTGCTGAATTGAGAGAGTTTCTGAGTGTCGGTAAAAAAAACCTTAATAAAGACATATTAAATGAAGTAGCTGTTCGCAACTCAACATGTAAAGTCTTTCATGTTAGAATTGAAGAAAAACTTAACAGTACTAGTACTGCTACTACTACTAAAGTTACTACGTGGTAGTCACCACTCTAGCATGGAATAAAATCGAAAGTGGCAAAGAAATCAAGGATGAGAACTCTGCCCTATCATTTAGTATACTAAATGGTAAAACGAAAGCGTCACAACATGGCATTGTTTTGGTATTCAAAATTTCAAAATGGAAAGTCCTGAGATATAGCGTGGGTGTTGAAGCCTGACAATATATATATATATATATATATATATATATATATATATATATATATATATATATATATATATATATATGTGTGTGTGTGTGTGTGTGAAGAAATATAGTTTTAAGGTGTGCTATATTTATGGGATAACGTGCTCAATATCATAGATAGAGCGTATGTAAATATAAATATATAAGTAAACATTGAAGTCAACACCCAGAGGCGACAGGCTGTTTCATGCTTGGCGCAATCGTCAGGCAGCCTGACGATTGCGCCTAGCACGAAACAGTGTGTCGCCTATGAGTGTTGACTTCAATGTTCACTTATATATATATATATATATATATATATATATATGTGTGTGTGTGTGTGTGTGTGTGTGTGTGTGTGTGTTTAATTATCTCACCTCACCTGGATGCAGTGGGGTTACAGGAAGTGAAAGAGAATGAGAAGACTTTAGTGAGAAGAGAGAGGATGGACAATAAAGTAACAGGATTCATGAAGAAAGACGTCGATTGACGTTGCATTTAAAGTTGTAAAGATCGTTGATGGCAGCTAATATATATATATATGTGTGTGTGTGTGTGTGTGTTCGTATGTTTGTGATTAATACAAATATAAAATTTGTCACTTAGCTGATTGATGTCATATTCACCACTCCAACTCCAGAGTTTCGTAGACGAACCTTTTTGTAATCGTTCCGTCCACTCGTCAGGAGGTATCAGCAATTATCTACCGATTTTCTTATATTCGTTATTTTTATATTAAGTTTAAAAAATAATTCATGCGCTTTTTATTGGTGTTAGGTTGAGTTTCGTCTTCTTTATGTTTGGGTCTGTGTGTGTATGCGTGTGTATATGTGCGCGCCTGTACGTGTGTGTACGTGTACATGTGTAGAATACCATAGTTCTTTCTCCTTTTCATAATTCTCTTGTTACCTTATACGCACCCACTATTCCTTCTTTTTTCCCTCCTTCGGCCCTGATATTGAAACAATGTTATTTCCGATCACAGAGCTTATTTTTAGGCTAAATTTCTTCGAAGATCCTGGGGTTTTCTTAAGTTTGTAAAACATAGGTGTATTTCGTTATTTATCTATTTCTTGTTTAAATAATTATGTTTTATTAATGCCTAAATAACCCACACTCATTCGCGTGTGAACGCACGCACTCACACACACACACACATACAGGCATATATATATATATATATATATATATATATATATATATATATATTATTATTATTATGATTATTATCAATGTATTATTTCAAAACTTCTCTTTGCAAAAATCCTTTTTTGTTTATTTTTATTCATTGAAATCAACCTAAGAGTTTTCCAATGCAATAATTTATTATTCATAAGATTAAAAAAAAAACCCCAAAAACCCCAAAAACAAAAACCAGAAGGTCGGAATTGGTTTGAAGAAAAAGAACTGAATGGCAAGTTTTACAGGGAAGAAATGTTGTAAATGTGGAAGAGGCATTTTTAATTGAAGAACTGATACGACTTATGGTAGAAATTAATAGGTGCTGAGGAAAATTCCTATGTCCAAAAAACTAACAGTTTGCTGGTTCGCAATTAGGAAAGTAAAAGTGACAAGCTTCTCTACTTGCCTATTACTTGTGTACCGTAAAAATAAAAATAAACAAAAAAGGAATTTTTCAAAGAGAAGTTTTGAAATAATACATTGATAATATATATATATATATATATATATATATATTAAGAAATGGACAAGGTCCGACAATTTATTTTTTTAAAGTTGTTTTTTATGTTTTAACGTTGTTGTTTTATAGATACAAGTATTTAAGCAAATGCTCTGTTAAATGTTATTTAATACTGTTTATCATTTCTCAGACATTCAGGCCGGTATTTGTTATTATAAAATAACAACGTTAAACATAAAAATGTCTTTAATATATATATATATATATATATATATATATATATATATATATATATATATGTTCTTCTCTGTGTGTGTGGTAAGTATTTTGAAAACTTCTACTTTGATATATTTCGCTAATGAACCGGTAACATCAGAAAAGAATTATACACACACACACACACACACACACACACACACACACACACACACACACACACACACACACATATTTGATATTACTTTAAACATTATATTTTAGATGATACACGTATTTGCGTAGACACCCTGACTTTTTAAAAGAGTGAATTACATGTACCATTCGAGAGACTTAATAAACAAAATATTCCCTCCGGTAGGGTATGAATCGTCGTCCTCCTTTCTAGAGGAATTGTTACAGAATGCTGAGGCGTGGCCAGGATGGTAACCGACTGGTCAGAATATCTCGTGTGCGTGCTCTTCTGGCAGTGATGGATTGACTTTGTCTATGTTTTGGATACAAGGCCCAAACGGCGCAAAGTCGGCAGAGGGCCTCAGGAATTTTGAACCGTCGAAACGCTTCCCATACCCAGGTTCAAGAGACAGGCTAAAACCACACACGGAGGTACGCTAGGTCAACGAGTGGCATGCATGTCTGACCTTCTCCTATAATAACTCGAGTAAGAAAGAGATACAGTCTTTCGTTGATACCATCTATGGAGTGGCTTTGGGGCCCAGAGGGGACTGAAGGCAATGACGACACGGAACCCAACAGGAAACCACTCTGTTTGATCCGACGTACTGTAGACTGCTCGGCCACAGGGAGCATCACAGTTGAGTAACTTAAAACTCGCTAAGATCTACAACGTGGTTCGGACCCTGCCTGAGGGCGTATTTTCGTTTTTAAGACGGACAAATGCACAAGGCGATAGATGTAATTTCACACTAAAAATTGATTTATTCCTTATTTACACACTCACATGCATATATATATATATATATATATATATATATATATATAATATATATATATAAAATAAAAATGATACCTGTTAATGAATTCTTATACTGATTACCTTGAAGTTAGAAGGTAAAGTCTTTGAACTCTCTCTCTCTGTCTCTCCCTATCTATCTATCTATCTATCTATCTATCTATCTATCTATCTATCTATCTGTCTTCTTCTTCTTCTACTTATTATTATTATTATTATTATTATTATTATTATTATTATAAAATATTTTTATGAATATGTACTTAGAGTTTCATTAATTTTTTTTTTACATCCAATCCCCGACAAATTTTATTTATTTATGCACAAATATTTCTTTTTTTTTCTTTAAAAAGAAAGTTATAGTGACATATGATATTTGAACTAATTCTGTTAATGGCCTAAAATGAAATTTGTAATAACAAAATTTGGAATTCGTTTATTTTAATTTTAATCATAAACTCTCATCACACCATAAAGTATCAACGCGTATTTATTTATATTCTTCCTGCCCCATCTGTAGTGGAAAGGGAGGTAAATCAAATTGAGTTAGTAATTTATGAGTGATTACTTCCCTTAGTCGTTTTACTTATCTATAAAAATAAAATATTTATATGCATTTAGACAAAATTAGTCGCCGAGCAAAATGAACCGATTAAATTAATCAGTTCCTTTACGCCTATGATTCTTAGAGATTGCAGCCTTATTTGTCCAAGCCTTTCATGTGAGGCACTCAGATACCTTTGCCTACAAAGTGATCATCTTAGATCAACTTATTTCTTGAAATAGGCTTTGTCGTCTTTCTTTCATTGTTTCTCACATTTAAACTTTTGTAAGATATTTTTATATGAGTTTATATGATACATATATTAATATATATATATATAATTTTAATATATGTATTCATATATATATATGTATTCATATATATATATGTATATATAAAATGGTCTTTAAATCTCATAAGTCTATAAAACTAAATGATGTCATTTTCAGTTGTCTGTGTTAGATGATGTTAAATATCAACAGGTGCCTGTCTTAAAGTGATGGTTAACAAGTTGATAGATTCTCATTATATGCTTCACATATTGGGAGGTGGGGCTTATGCTAGTTTGAGGCTAGCTTAATAATAAAAAATTGTCTTCCCCAATATCACTTTTTCAAAATAAATGGAAAGTTACGGAAAATTCCATTTTTTTTCACTTTCTTTTTTTTAGTGGGGGATGGGGTGTTCATAATTTTCCCTCCCAAAAATTAAAAAAAAAAGTTCAAATGCAACCCTGAATATTTATTTTATTTATTTGTTTATTTTAATTTTCTTGTTGAGTGGATAATCCACAAAAAAAAGAAAAAGAAAAGAAAATGCATTTGATGATTGCCATCATCATCATCATCATCATCATCATCATCATCATCATCATCATCAACAACAACAACAAACAATAGCAACACATTTTTTTTTTAAATATTTCATCGATGAAGAATCAGGCCGTTTTTTTTTTTTTTTTTTTTTTTAGTGGCATTCCGTTGACAAACTTTTCATATCAAAATGTCCTCCACGGAAAACGAGTTGGTGGCTTAGTATTTAAGGAGATATTTATATAGAGATAGATAGATAGATAGATAGATAGAGAGAGAGAGAGAGAGAGAGAGAGAGAGAGAGAAGAAAACATACGGTAACCTTGATAGCTGAACGGGATTATGATTAATCTGTACAAACGCCTCGTAATTTTAAACAGTTACACGTTCATACACACACACACACGCACACACACATACATATATATAGGAGTAAGTGCAAAAAACAGAAAAAAAAAAAAATATGGCGGGTTAGAGAGCTAATCAACTTTAAAGGGAGGTAACAATCATCAGATATTTAACGACATATATATATATATATATATATATATATATATATATATAAATGAATAAAAACAAACGAAACATTTGGTAACAAATCGTAGACGTGCGTATATGTATATATGCGCAAGTATGTGTATGCCTGTCTAATACTTTTAACGCAAAGCAGAAATTGCGTGGGTGGATTTCCGTTTTAATTTGTCGCCTCTCATTTTTTTGTCCTTTTATGTCTGTCAAATTTAGGTTTCGTTTATTCTTAATTTGCACAAATTCAAGAAAGGAAACAAAATGAACAAAAAACATTTCTTAGTAAAAAGGAATCTATATTAGCATGCTTTCAAATATTTTTTTCTTGTTTTATTGTGTTATATTCAAACTTGTAAGTTAATTTCAATTCTCTTTTTTTTCACAACTAATCAGAACATAATTCTGTTACTATTTTATTATAAAATGAGGAATCATCAATGACTATTCATTTTTGACTAGTATTTCTTTCATCTTAATTTCACTTGCTTTTCGTCGCATCTTACTCAGACCTTCATTCCCTTTTATTATAACACGAAGTATTGTCAGCCATTTTTAATTTTTGACTAGTATTTCTTTCATCTTAATTTCACTTGTTTTTAATCGCATCTTCTCGGACCTTCATTCGTATTATTACACGAAGCATTGTTAGCCATTTTTAATTTTTGACTAGTATTTCTTTCATCTTAATTTCTCTTGCTTTTCACGTCAACTACTCAGGAGACTTTATTCTTTATGCTCACTCAACGCTGTTTACTCAGTGTGGTTGTCTGAGAGGGAACTGAAGTTAAGATGAAAATTGCGAGTGAAAAAAAGAAATTAATGAATACTTTTATTCAAAATATATGGACATTTATTCAAGCCATAAATACCTTTATTCAAATGTATAGGTATCCTTATTTCAAAAGATAGAAGCGAATAAAAGGAGTTAATTGATTCCAAATTTTAAAAGTAGTAAATTAGTGGTTATCGAAAATTTTGAAAATAATTTTGTTTTTTCTTCTCTGAGAAGAAATGATCGTGGCACCACACAAGTAGAGATCTCTTCTGCAAACACTGTGAACAGAACAAGGGATGTTTAATAATAATAATAATAATAATAATAATAATAATAATAATAATAATAGGAGTAGATATGTTCGCTTATACTTTGTTCATACTCCTTCCTCGTCTTTCTCACAGGAGGACTTATCCTTTGTTTCCTGTTTAGGATTGGGTTTCCGGTACTTTCTTCTAGATTTTTCTAATTTTCTTTCACCCCCAGTAACCACAGTGGTTGGGGTGAAATGATTAAAGAAGAAGAAGAAAAAGAAGAAAAGAGAGAAGAAAAAAAGACGAAAGAGGGAAAGTAAGAAGAAAAAGAAGAAGAAAAAGAAGACTCAAGAGAAGAAAAAGAAAGAAGAAAAAAGAAGAGAGGAAGACGAAAAAAGAAGACGAAGAAGAAGAAAGAAGAAAGATAAGAAGGAAAAAAGAAAAAGAAGAAAAAGAAGACACAAGAAAAGAAGAAAAAGAAAGAAGAAAAAAAAGAAGAAAGAAGACGACGAATGTAGACGAAAAAGAAGAAGAAGAAAGAAAAAGAAGACACAAGAAGAGAAGAAAAAGAGAAGTAGAAAAAGAAGAGAGGAAGACGAAGAAAAAGAAGAAAAAAAAGAAGAAAGAAAGAAAGAATGAGGAAACACGGAAAAGTTTCAATTTATTAATACCTATTCTTAAGCATAAAGAGACAATACGAAATATACTGGAGAATATTTTCAGGTATGAATTGTCTTGTCGTGTTTTTAAGCAATTCATTGTTGTTTTTTTTAATTCTTTAATAATACAATGTTTCTAATTACTAAAAAGGTTATTTGAGTGGCTACACGTGTCTGAGTAGACAGTCTTGTTTAATGAAAATTTAGACGTTCTATAGACGTTAATTTAACCATTTGTAAATAAACAGACGTATCTCCACAAACGCGCGTGCACACTCCATTAACGATTATAGTAATTATAACAAGCATGTATTTTTAACAATCAAAATTATGTCATATTTTCACGCAAGAAACTTTAATAAATGTATTTATGTTTAGAATATCGGTCCATATATTCCAAATAATGTTTCACCATTATTGAATTATAACTTATAGTTTGTACTTACAAGTTTGAATAATCATATTCCAATACGTAATTGTAGGTAGGTAAGTAATAATGATAATAATAGTTAAGGGAAAAGTGCGATTTAAGAAAAGAAAAAGAAAAGAAAAAAACGCAGTGTGTGACATTGTTAAACAATATTTCGACAGTATGTCTGTCTTCTTCAGGATATATTTAAAAAAATTTTTTTCACGAATAAAAATATATAAATTTACAAAAAAAGTAGACATAAACGAAACATGCAGAACTTTTTATTACAAACGTCTGTAATTTCGACAAACATCTTAAGGTGAACATTCTGAAAAAAAATATTAAGAATCTACCCACTTTTCGACCCTTAAAATGCTGGGGGATAGTAAGCAAATTACTAACTTCCCGCCTCTGGGGAATGAAAAGAATGAGAGGAGAGTTCCATAAAATTTATGCTAAGCTGTTTGATTAATTCCCCTTAGTAACTAATCAATTAACGGAAAATTCCAACCTAAACAAGATCACCATCATGTTAAGTACGTTTTAGTTTCATGCCTTTATACTGGCGGCGTTTCATTTGCTTTGACGCGCTTATTACCAGGGCAGCCGTTCTTTCATTACAACGTTTGTACAAAGACTTATAATTTTTTTGTAAGTTTATATTTTGGATTTTTTTAAAAAATATATCCTGAAGAAGACAGACATACTGTCGAAATATTGTTTAACATTGTTAAACATTGTGTTTTTTCTTTACTTTTTTCTTTTCTTAAATCGCACTCTTCTCTTAAGTGTTGAAAAATATTGGAAGAGATACGTTAATCATTTTTAATAATAATAATAATAATAATAATAATGGTAATAATAGTAATGATAATAGTAATAAAGTACAAAGTGGAACTAGCTAGGTACGAAAAAATTGCGTAGGTCATTATTATCAAGGAATGACGCCTGTTTTTAAGAATCAACTTTTCTTTATTTTAAAAGAATTTCTCATTTTCTCACAGTAAAATTATTATCATTTTTTAATTAAATAGACCAGATACGGACTCTCCATAATATAGCCACCAACAGATTCTTTCGTATAATTTAACCAACAAAAAGAGCTCAGATTTTCTCGAAAAAGTCCTACAATTTAACAATTGATCCCTGGATCAGTTAAATCTTTTCCCCCCTGTTCAAATAATTTTCTTGACCAGACACTTTTGCATAGGTAGATATACTATATCTATGAACAGATTCGCACCTGTAAGCCAACAAAAGAAAGCGTATTAATAAAAATAAAAAAAAATTAAAATCTTAAAATTGATCTCTGGATCATTTTACATCTGTAAAATCTTTTACCCTCTTCGAATAGTTTTCTAGACACATTTTGTTGGCAAACGTACATCTGCGACCAGATTGTTTCATATTTTTTAGTCAATAAAATAACGCAGATTTAAAAAAGAAAATTGTTAGGTAATTCAACAACTGACCTCTGGGTCAGTTTACATCTGTTAAATCTATTTTTCCGTTCATCTCTTATTCCAGACCTGACACTTTTCACAGGTACACATACTACAACTAGGAAAAGATTATTTCATATCTTTTAGCCAACAAAAGAACGTAGATTTTCTCAAAAAAGTCAGGCAATTCAACAACTGGTCTCTGGATCATTTTACATCTGTTAAATCTTTTCCCTTGTTCAACTGTTTTTCTAAACCTGACGCTTTTGGCTATTAGATATATTGCATCTACGAACAGATTTGTTTCATATAATTTAGCCAATTTGGACTTTTTTCGATCTCCCGTCAAATCATTTCTTTCCGTTTAAATTGGCCTTCCTGGTCTGATTTTATTTTTTTTACATGCCAAGCTAACATTACTATCAGACTCTTTATCAAGTTTACTTATGTTTTACTTCAGAAGTTGTTTCTGTTTAAGAGCACGGATTATTTAGTGAATGATTTTGATATTTTGTGCCTAATCCACCCAAATCTTTGTGTCCGCAAAGAACAAATCATTTAAATATAATTATCGTCAACTTCCGTTTTTTTTCGTTCTTACCATTATTTTACTGTTTAGCGTAAGAATGTCATCAGAAGTTCCGAAGTTAAGCTAGCCGATGAATTATTTAAACTAAAAACCCCTACCTTTGTTATTTTAATCATTACATATCGGCCGATCGATTCTCCTTCCTCTGGTGTCTATATCATCAAATAATTATTATAAAAAAAGAATTTCACGCACCTTTCTCATAAGCCAAGTTACAAAGAGGCATCTCATGATCTTATTTCTTTTTAAAAAAAGAAAATAAATTTTATTTGCTAAAATTTATAATATCCCACCCACCCACACAAAATATCTCTGTCACTTCAATTATTGAGTCAGGAATTTAAAAAAAAATATAGATTTGACATACACCCGAGGAGAGACGATCGGCTGAAAACAATATGACCGAAACAACAAAGATAGAGATATTAGTCTAAATAATTCATTGAATAATACGTTTGTTTATAAACATGACGAAATATAAAATTGAATAAGCCACCAATGAAATTTCGATCTGTAAGAAATGTCTTTTTGAACCGTAGAGCTCAATTTGCAATGATGCCTAAAACTGAGCCAAGATATTTGGACTGTATATTAAAGAATATCTCATTGGGATTAATTTATCTGTCGTTCGAGTATCAGAATACTGACGATTCAAACAGAAATGAAGTTGGTATGAAAGAATTATATTCATGAAATGTTCGTTGACTGAACACGGGACTTGTTTTGTCTGCTTTTTCACTTTGATGTTTAAGTGGTTTATTTTGGCGTGTCTAGTTTTCGGGGATTATTTTTGGGTTTTTGTTTTTTTTTTCTTTTTGCTCTGGTTTGTGGAAACAATGTAAAAAATAGTTCCAGCATTTGTATTTTCCTTCTTCTTCAACTACTAAGGGCTTCAAATTCGTCGAAGGTCATCGAGTCAAGCCGTCTCGGCACTTGATGAACGATCGGCAGGCCCGAATCTTCGGAATTCTCATCATCCGAGTTAGTGCAAGGCAAAAGTTGCGGGCAAATATCTTCGTAGGCCGGGGGCTGGATGTTGTTCGTATTTAAGATTTGCTTAGTTTGCTGCGTTTGTTGTTGTTGTCGTTGGTGTTGTTGTTGTTGTTGCTTCTGGGTAGCTGTTATCGCGACAGCAGACGTTGCGAATGTCGTCAGTGCCAGCGATGATGTCGTTGACGTCACTGGACACGTGGTGAACGAAGACAAAGTGGTAGCGTTCTTGCTCGTCGTTCCGTTGCTATTGTTACCAGTGCCGTTTACGATGACAGCGTTTTTGGTTCCGAGGGGTGGCAACGGGGTGGTCATCTTCATCCCGCCGATCATTAGATTGTTGATGTGGATTTTGTGCACTGTCGGCGGGTGACTGTTGAGCGGCATCTTTGTTGTCGATATCGTCCCCGAGTTTGTGGTTGGTATCGTCAGGGACGTCAGAGATGTCGACGACGACGACTTGCTGTGGGTCGACTGGCGAAAGTCGCAGTTTTGGTAGTTCTCGATGGTCTGCTGCCGTTGGCCCGGATTGAGCGCCGCTGTGCTGCTACTGTAGTAATCATTGGTGTCCGAATGGTTTTGCTGTCTATTGCGTTGATTCAGATGCTGGGTGTTGGCGTTCGTGTCACGAAAATTGATCGAGGTGTCAGACTCGACCGACAGGGGGCGTGGGCTCCTCGTGTACTTGGGCGGTGGATCGATTTTCGGGGCAATGCCCAACTTCAACTCGAGCCGATTGCCACTGGCATCTTGGGCAGGAACAGGTGTTATGATCTTGATATCATCGCGTCTTTTCGGCGAGACCAGACTGTTCTTTGAGAAAGGATTGTTGTTGTTATTGTTGTTGTTGTTGTAGTTATTGATGTTGTTCATATTATTGTTGTTGTTGTTGATATTGTTATTGATGTTGTTGTTGTTGTTGTTGAAGGTCTTGTTGTGATGATTGGAGACGTTTTGGTTCTGATGCGGCTCGTGTGCGCGTGCGCTGGTCGTATTCACGGGGCCTGTATTCGTGTTGCTGTAGTTGTTGCCGGGCTGGGAATGCCGGCAGAAACTATCGTACTGCCAGCATTTGGAGTCGGAACTGTTGGTCAGGTTGCAGGACAAACTATCCGAAGACATCTCCTTGTGACCACTGTCCGGAGAGTCTGTGTCTTGTTCAGTTTTTGTGTTTTCAAACAGAGCATTCTCCGGAACAGAATTCAAATAGGTATTCTCCATGTCCCGGAAGTCTGGGAGATAAACTGGACCTGATTGAGGGGTTGTTGGGTCAGGTAAAACTGGAATCTGTAACGACAGGGGGGAGAAAAAGAAAACAATATATTAAACTGAATAATTAAAAAAAAAAAAAAATAACATAACCAAACCTTTACTGGATGCGCAAGTGGTGTAAGGTTTCCCGCTCGAAAAGAAAAATCGGTGATCCATGTTCAAATCCCGAACGAGTCGCTTGAAGTTACTTTAGCATCAATACCCTTGGGAAAGGTTTGAATTCATCACTTTTCCTACCAGCTACGTCTTAAATCGCAGGGTAGATTGGGCTCTCTCGCTGTGGTAGGCTACCAGTCTAGAAGATCAACTCAAAAAACAGTATGTTGCCCTCGCGAGGCGCATGCTATGCAACCATTTAACTGCGGTGCAGAATTGCGAACTCTGTGATCTCGACTGAGGTCAAATAAAAGAAAAGTATTTTGTATGCTTGGGGGCCCATCCGACAGGCACAATGCATATCGATTTGGCCACAACAGAATTTAAATTTAGACATCTTAATAGTAAGTCAAAAAAAAAGAGTGGACGAGATTAAGGAGAAACTGCCTAAAAACGTGAACGACATTAAGGAGAATATGAGGCAAAAACGTGGACGAGATTAAGGAGAAGGTGTCGAAACAACTGATGTGGATCCCGGAAAAATGGACCTATGTCTGACTCTTTGATTCTAGTGTAAATCGAAACGATGTCGAACATTTTTTACTGTAGTGTAAACCATATATATATATATATATATATATATATATATATATATATATTAACTTTTTTTACTCTAGTGAATATCGAATCGGACATAGTTTACTGTCTCGATAGTAAGTCTGATCTGTTCAGTAAGGTCAGATTGTCGGCAAAAACAACCTACAGTCTGTTCTTAACTGGGGCAAGGAATGGCTTCATAATTTTAATGCAGCCAAAACAAAACTGATCTCTATTAACCATCTGAGAGACATCTTTCTATCTTCCATCAGCATGGCTGATGCTGGCCTCCAGGAGATTGGCTCGTTGTGCCTTCGTGGGCTAGCATTTTCGACTCATATGAAGTGGAAAGATTATACTGAATCCATTGCTAGATCAATTGCTAGATCAGTTGCTAAGAAAGTTGGTTTACTGTGTCGTGCTAGACAATGTTTCTCTCCAGAATCTATCTTACATATCGATAAGTCTACCACTAATCCATACTGTTGCATACGGGCCGGCGATCTTGAATCAAAAAGAGACATGGTTGTCCAAGCGTATCACATCCGTCGCTACTAACAAGGATCGGGCCGGCGATCTTGAATAAAAAAGAAACATGGTTGGCCATGCATTTCACATCCGCCGCTAACAACAAGGATCGGGCCGGAGATCCGGGCCGGCGATCTTGAATCAAAAAGGGATATGGTTGTCCAAGCGTATCACATCCGCCGCTACAAACAACGATCGCACCGGCGATCTTGAATCAAAAAGAAACATGGTCCGCCATGCATATCACATCCACCGCTACCAACAAGGACCGGGCCGGCGAACCGGGCCGGCGAACCGGGCCGGCGAACCGGGCCGGCGAACCGGGCCGGCGAACCGGGCCGGCGAACCGGGCCGGCGATCCAGGCCGGTGATTCAAGATCAAGAATATTTATTCAAAATATTTAGATTTCGCCATTAAGTAACCCATAGAGGAGTTGATGTGTGGTTAAATAAATGCAACATTTTTCATATTAATCCATATAATATAGAAATCAAACTTTTTTCCCAAATATAACAAAACATAAAATACGCATATCATCGCCTCTAGTAAATGATGTCCCCATCAGCATGTATATGCACAAAAGCAGAGTAACATCTACCATGTATTCTGCTGTGAAAGCAGAATAGCTGTAATCATGTTTTTATGGTACTCGGACATTTGGCCGAAGGAATATTTGGCCGACGGACATTTAACCGAATGGATATTTGGCCGACGTACATTTAACCGAATTGATATTTAGCCGAAAATGTAATGGCGTACTTACATGTATGTCACCCTCTTTATCGTAATGTGCTACATATATTTATATTTATTTACTGTATTGATTTATAATTTTTCGATTTTTTTACAGGCGTTTTTAAAATCCATTCTGTATATATTATATTTTACTTCTAATATTACTGTAAAATGATAAGTATTTTGAGAAAAAGCACATTTTACTGCTAAAAGATCTTAAGTTTTTACGATATGAAATATCTTTCAATTTCGCTTTTAATGATCATTATCTTAAGGGAATGAACTAACTTTTATCTTACTGTTAAATACGAATTTAAATAATTAGGTGCTACTTTTTACCCAAATACACTCAAATATTTTTAAAAATACTAATTTCAATAAATAAATATTGAAATAAGAAAACTTTTAACTTAACGTAATTTAATCACTTGAAATTCAGTGGTAATTATTAGTTCTGTTCTACCATATAATACCCCACCCCCTGTACTTGTAACGGCATTCACCCGAGGTGGGTTGAGTCTGCTCCAATATTGGAGTTTCATGGGAATTTGGAATTCACAAGCGGTCCCCAACCCGCATGTATAGCACATGAGATTTTGATTAGCTAAGGTTACGTGCAGGGCAATCCACACTTTTTGAAGGGCCGATTACAGATACGTGGTGCACTACGTGCCACAAGGTCCCCAAACGACCCTCCGCAGGTTTTGAATTCAGAGTTGTCCTTCTCCTAGACCAGTTGCCATCCAAGGCTATAGAACCCAGTCTGTCCTGCCATTTACCCATAGCTGGAGGGAGAAGAAGTGGATTCACACCTTTCCCGAAGCACGTGAGTGAATGTAATGGATTCAACTGGAATTCGAACTCGGCTCTCCGATTCCTCAATCCAAGTCGCTATCCATTACTCCACCGTGCCTCCTAATAGTACCTTATAATACTGCTAATTAAAATATTTAAAGTATTGCTGGGTACTATTTTTACTTGTACTTTTTCGGTGAAATGTCCGTCAGTCAAAGGCCCGTTCGGCCAAATGTCTGTCGGCCAAATTTCTGACGGCTAAATGTCCGGCCACGGTCTTTATTACTTCCAAGCTCCCGAGAACATTAAATTTCGGCATTAAATGGCCCATAAGGATGTTGATATGCCGTTAAACAAATCAAATGAAATCAATTGATTTCTTATGATTCCTCACGTATAAGACTTGTTTTCGACATTAAACTTTAAGCCTTGACCACCGCTTTACCGGTGGTAGAGAAAAATGACGTAATGACCAGCCACCGGTTAAACAGTGGTAGAGAAGAATGACTTAATGCCCAGCCACCGGTTGTGTTATTCATGATGACGGTTGTCTTCGAGTATAGAATCCAGAGGTTAGCAGTGAATATTTCGAAGACAGTAGGAAAACGTTGTTCAGGTTAGCAGTGGATATCCCGGTAAAAGTAGCAGAGCGTAGTTCAGTAGTTCTTCCTTCTGTTCCTCTTCGCCTGACAAGCTGGATTGGACATTCGGGTAGAGTGAACAAAAATGGCCGCCTTTATACACGACGGATTGAATATTCTACGTCTTCTGATTGGTTAACCTTCTATTGGTGGACTATAAATTGAGTCAAGTCATTTTGACTGGCTCACTAGTTATATATATATATATATATATATATATATATATATATATATATATATATACACACAAAAAACTGCAACAGGCTGAACTGTGGGTAAACACTTGTAACTATTTTTATATCTACCGTGAAACATTACATACCAATTATTTGCGAATTTTGACTCAGGTGCTTAAGTAGAAGGTTAAAATTGTTCAGGAACGCAAGGGTCAAAGGGTTAAATAACCAAGAACGATTGATATAACCCTCTCTCTCTATCTTCTACGTTCCCTGATTCTTACCTGTGGTGTAGTTTGGAAGAGTCTTTCTGAGCTCGCAGATATGCCGTTCACTTTCATTTCCAGGTCCTGTATACGGCTTATCAACTGGGCCACGTGGTCAAGAAGATCGCGATTGTGTAAGAGAAGTTGATGGGCTCGAGCCTGTGAGAAAACAATTCAAGAAACGCTTGAAGAGAAACAGAAGTTATTTAGGGGAAATAAAAAGCAAAACTTATTTGGCAAAAAAAAAAAAAAAAATGGCTTCAAATCTCACCAAATAAACAAATTTTGATTTGCAACTCGAAACAAAACTAAGCAAAAAAAATCATTTTCTAAAACCTAGCCTGGCACAAGGCCAGATAATGGGGTACGAATTGTCTTTCACTAATTTATTTTTATATCCTAAAATAGTTTCGACTGAGAGAAGCGTATAAGTTTTAGTGAGGATTATACTTTTTCGGACTTCGTGGAATGGTGTTACCGAATCGTAAACAAAGCATTGTATTGAATATCAGAAATCACATCACTTGAGGACTTCCAACAGCAGCAATAACTAAAATGGATATCACATATAACTCGAAAAGAAAGAGAAAAAAAAATGGCATAATCATAATGTTGACATTCCACACTACTTGAAACAAAAGGTTAGGAAGGAAACTCCCATCGATAGTTAAAAGAGCGATAACAGTTACTGGACCGATTTGTCTGAAAAATCGTTTTAATAAAAAAAGATTTTATAACTTTCAAACAACAGCAGCACTGGCTGCTCGGTTGATGAATGCCAAATGTTTCCTTATAAGGAAACGGCTAATTTTACAATTACCGTTACCATTTCTCCCATTTGAACAGTAGTTATCAAACTTAATTTACTCCGTACGTTGCTGGTAATATTTTATTTTCAAAAATGTATTGTTAATAATAATTTTTTCCTTCAAAAATTCATTGCTGGTAATAGATTTTACAAAAATGTATTGTTGGTATTAAAACCTATTTTTACAGTTTCATAGTGTTTTGACGCCAGAGTAAAGGTACTTTTTTTTTTAGATATATAGTTTGTAGATAATAAAATGTGTTGTTGGTAATTTTAGTATTAAAATGTATTTTTAGTGCTGCACTGATTGTTATTTTGGTATAAAAATCTATTGTTGGTCATTTTATTATAAAAATGTACTGTTGATTTTTCTTTGGGGTTCACTAGTTGTCCATAGCTGAGACTAACCGATACTAACGACCCGGGTCAGGGTAGACCTGAGATTATCAGCAGTTAAGAGGTGGTACCACGCTCCTCAAAATCTCCATTCTCCCGTCAAAGGTCTTGCTGCCAGATGTAGTTTATCGTCATACCCAGGACGATCTCTGGTTGGAACCCGGAAGGAAATGAGTATACACCCCCAAAAAAAACAAAGCACAACCCCACCAAAAAACCCTCCTCAAAAACAAAGGCAATAATAATAATAATATTAATAATAATAATAGTTACTCGATATCTTTAATTTTGAAGTTGTTCGAAAATGTTTTTTTCTCTTGGTATTTTGAACTAGCTTAAAAGCCGCCATTTAATCTAGCTCTTGTGGAGGGGTGTTGATTGAGCGTTCATCACAATGGATAAGGGGGGGAGTAGATGCGATAAGCAACAATAAACTACAGAATAACTCAAAATTGATCGCTGCATTTAAATATTGCATTAATATTTAAGCTTACCTTTTAAAAGTTCAATGATAATTCTTCTGCTGCCACTTAATTTAAAGACGATTTGATGTACGTAGGTCCTTACTTTCCATACAAACAATTATTTTTTATTTTATGGGAGACTTTCGCTGCATTCTGCAATTAATTTAGATTGTCGCCAAATTTATTTCAAAGTTATAAAAATTGTTATCCTACAAAAAATTCGCCGTAAAAATCACGTCAAAAAATCGCCGAAAACAATCGTAGTAATGAAAATTTGGGAATCCCAAATTTCAGGATTGTGGGTTCAGATCCAGCCCAGAATATTTTTAATTTCCTCACGGAGTCGGCCTGATTCCAAAATGGTAAGATATATTGGGCTACGGCATCTAGGAGTAAAGTTGAAAAAGTGTCACGCAATGACACACTGAGATTCGCATTTGTTATATAGACGAAAAAAGTATTCTTAAGGACATATGGAACAGTGGATAAAAGCGTTGAAAAGATCCATTGACAGGACCCAAAGAGTGAGAGTTCAATACCTGGTTAAGGCAGTGGAGAACTTTCAGAGGGAAATTAACAAGAGATAACTGATAACTGACATCCATTAGACATGGCACGTGGAACTAGAACAGTCTACCCCAGCGAGTGAAATAAAGGGTTCAGTTCGACATTCCAACCACCTGAAGAAGGACGGAGCGTACAACGGCTGGAACGTTGTAATAAATATGGCGACAAAGATGAGGATGATAGTCCAAACAATGTAAATAATTAAAAAAAAAAAGTATTGCCAAGTGATAATGACTTTCACGACGTTTACTCACCTGTGCTTCGATGCGGGCAGCTGTTTCTGCAGCCAATTGGTCTTTCAAAAGATGCACCTGGGCAATAGCCACCTGGGTTTGCTGTTGCTGCTGCTCAAGTTGTTGCCGTAGCAATTGCACTTGGTGGTGTCGACTCAGGGGCAGCGATGGCTCTGGCTGGCTATAGTCTCCAAGCAATACTGGAGAGCTCAACGGGGAGACAATCGTTGTTCCGCTGTTGACGCTACCGACAGCACTACCACTTAAGCTACTGCTCATGCCTCCACTACTGACGTTCTGTAGAAGAGAATTAGCAACATTCATTTAAGCAATATTTCACCCCAAGCAAGGCAATAAAGCTACTAAAAATCAAATTAAAAATATAACATGAAGACAATTTACTCGTGGAACCTATATATATATATATATATATATATATATATACAGTGCTGTTCGATAAAAGTGACTCAGCTGATATTTCTACGAAATGTTCTCTCCTTATAGAACTATATAAACTTATAGAGCATGTTGCTCAACTGCTTTCTCGAGAGCCTGTACTTTATAATGCTCCATACGTTTTCTATGGCGTTGAGGTCAGGAGATTGGGGCGGCCATGTCATAACACTCACCTGCTTCTCATCAAAGTATTCCTTCATCAATTTTGATTTGTGACAGGGAGCATTATCTTTCATAAAAATGAGCTTGGTGGGGTCGATTTGCACCCTTTCAGCAGAAGGGAGCAGACAAGACTCTAAAATTCTCTTGTACTGCTCGCTCCTGAGGTCTTTTCAATAGGTTTTAAGAAACCAGTTCCATGAAAAGAAAAGCATCCCCAGAACATTATACTGAACGGATGCTTGACAGTACTTACTGCTAAATTCAAAGAGCTTTCAAACCTTCTTCTTCGGATTTTAGATCGCTTATTCTTTGAATTTAGCTCAACTTTCGTTTCATCGGAGAAGAGAACATTTAGTAAAAAAAAATCAGGTGAGTCATTTATCGAACAACACTATATATATATATATATATATATATATATATATATATATATATTATAATAAAAAGAAAGAACAGCAAGATATATAATCCGGTGTTCTTATTGATATTTTATTTTTACAAAACAGTGTTCAATGTAAATTTACAGAGCATAAATATAAATTAACTGATTTAAAATATGGTTACTTCGCTACACAGGAATTACCATGTTTCTAAAACAGAAGATAAAAACTTCAAATTTTATTATATAAGTAAATTAAAAGCATTAGTTCCGTTTCATCTTCAAGCGAATTTTGGAATAAATTTTGGAATAAATTATTCCAAAATTCGCTTGAAGATGAAATTATGCCAAATTTCGCTTGAAGATGAAACAGAACTAATGCTTTTAATTTAATTATATAATTAAATTTGAAGTTTTTAGCTTCGGTTCTTGAAACATGGTAATTCCTGTGTAGCGAATAAACCATATTTTAAATCTATCTATCTATCTATCTATCTATCTATCTATCTATCTATCTATCTATCCGGTTGCTAATATCTAGTTATTAGAATTATCCACGTCAATACATATATATATATATATATATATATGTTAGGTTGGCAAAAATAATGACGTAATAATGTCGTTTTTTGACGCATTTTTAACGTCAAAAACGACATTAATACGTCATTATTTTTATTAACCTAATATATATATATATATATATATATATATATATTCATATATAAATAGAGAGAGAGAGAGAAAGAACAGACAGATTAAGGATCCACAGTTATTTGAATTTACTTTTTTTAAAGTGCTCAATACAACGTAAAGCAAAATATTATTACAATATTTTTATTATAATATTTTACATCGCTGCACAAAAATTTCCATGTTTCGGAACTTTAAAATTACCCCTCATCAGGGGATGTTAGATAACTTTTGATGAAAATGATTTACTTGGAAAATCAGAAAACAATTCGGTAGCTCATGTGTGTTTGTGTGTGTCGGTATGTGCCTATGTAATTCAAATAATCCAACTTACCCCTAATTTACCTCCCGAGGTCAAATGTGCTGGTTTATTAAGGGCAAGGTCACGTGGCGGAGTATTTTTCTCTTCTTTAAGACATTCTTTGGAAAGCTTTTTCTCATCTCTGGTTTGTACCTTGGCCTCGTCGGATTCTACTTGCTTCTTGGCTGCAAAGATAAATAGATTTTCCAGCATATAGTGAAATCATTTCCAGTACGTAATTAAGTCAGGCAATTGAATGTACCACGTTCGAGACCCGGGGTTAATTTCACAATTAATAAAAGGACAAAAGAAATGCAATTGACTTATAGGCTAACAATCTGTCATCAAGTTTAAATGAAAACGCAAAGGGCGTACTGAAGTGGAGCTTCTTCTATGTGCGGTGTCCTTTCAGAACGTTGGTGGTATTTTTTTTAATAATAAGGTTCACCCTATACAAGGCCCGATAGCCATTCGAGGTAGAGGTTAAAGAGTAGTTTATATGGATAAACTCTCTGTAAGCTCTTGCGTGCTAGTGCCACTTCCGCCTTGCTTGGGGTAAAATCCAAAGACGGATATCCAATGTGATAGGTACCTGGTACCTCGACTCCAGTCACTTTCTCACAGACGCGATGTGGCTTCCCTCTGTCTTTTCTACAATTATTTCCATGACAACTGCTCTGACATGCTTTTTTCCCTGATGCCCCAATTGCATGAATTTAAGCGTGGTACTTGGTTGGCATATCGGTCCCACCCTTTCACTGTCGAAACAGTTAAATGTAACCGCCTCTTCTACTCCAACAGCGCTTCTTCTCTCGCACTTCCCAACAGTGGAACTCCCTTCTTATTTGTTTCCCTGATAACTATAATCTTCAAAAATTTAAATGTAATGTCATTCGACATCTTCTGATGATTTGATCTTGATCCTTTTATTCTTACTTTCACTCTCTGTAACCCCTGGTGTGCTAGTGGCAATCCCGCCTTACTTGGGGTGAAATGCTTAAAAAAAAGCAAAAAAAAAAAAACAAAAACAAAACACCCCCTCCAAAAAAAAAAAAAAAATAAAAATAAAAATAAACGTGTAATATGTTTCATGTAACATCTATCATGTTTAATGTAACGCGTTAAATGTAACATGCAATTAAAAGGGAAAATAGTAACATAATCGAGATGTTCACTTTCCACACTTCTTTATGACATCAGGATGTAGGCGATTATGGCTCTTCACTATCTCCTTTTCTTCATAGCTATTCAAAATTTTCTCTTTTTGTTATTTCTCCTAAGCCTTGTTTCGCCATCAATTTACTCAAACACACTAAGTATGTTATGCGTTGTTTTCCTTTCTCCCTCTTGCCTTCAAGTTGTCCTGTGAGCATCAGATTTTCCAAGCCTTCTTTCCTTACACTAAGGAAGAGATATGAAAAGAAGCTACCGCCACTAGTAGAAAGAGCGATAAAAGTTAGTGGACTATAGGGGTCCAGTAGGTGTTCAAGGAGCCTCCTTGGATTTGATACAGTGGTTTAAATATTCCAGTTATGAATATATATATATATATATATATATATATATATATATATATATATATATATCATACTTATTATAAAACCCAGGTTGTGTGTGTGTGTGTACGTTTATATGGATGAATATATATATATATATATATATATATATATATATATATATATATATATATATATATATATATTGAAGAGTAATATAGAGGCTTGGATTGAGAGCCGAGTTCGAATTCAGTCAAATCCATTACATTCACTTACGTGCTAATGACCTTGGGAAAGGTATGAACTCTTCTCCCCCGCAGCTATGGGTAAATAGCAGAACAGACCGGGTTCTACAGCCTTAGATGGCAACTAGTTTACCGCAGAAAGAAATGGCAATCTAGTGCGGGAAAAAATCTGCCTCGTCAGTCATGTATCGAAATATACATGATCACCTACGCGTGTATATTACGCATGGCACACAACTGACTGAAGGTTCACCATTTACAAGCCCCGAGGAGCACTCAAGATAGAATGTTAAGTTAAGGAGTAGCTTATATTGATAGGCAGAGAGGATCATGGTTAACTCTAGACATGAACAGGTTAAGATTGCAGTGATTTGTGAAGCACCCTCTTGGGAGGCTGTTCCATAGGATAGCATGAGAAGCCATGTACTTACTCCACGAATTTCTATCCTTTGTAGCCCTAAGCATCAGTATATTTGTTTTAATTATTTCACCCCAAGCAAGGTGATAATGCCACTAAGACGCAAGGGAGTAAAGGAGAATAATGTAAAAGAACAATAAAGGAACAGATTTCATGAAGTCAGAAGTTAGCGATTGGCGTTGCATTTAATTTTTTGAAAATTGTAGGTGACAGGAAACAAGAAGATAGTTCCACAGGCGAGAAGTGTGAGAGGAAAACATACGGTTGCATCTAGCTAGTTCAAAAGTAAAACGGTGAGACCTAGTTGCCAATCTAGTAGCACAATTAAATTCATGCGGTTGATGCACCAAGGGGGAACACTCATCAGAACAATTGCTGTGTGAATATTTGTAGAAAAGACAGAGGGAAGCCACGCCAAGGCGGTGAGAAAGTGACTGGAGTCGAGATGCTAAGTCAGGACCGATTATAAGCCCTTTTTTTTAATTTGTCAAGAATCTCGAGATATATGCCGTATTTTCCGGCTTACAAGAACTTGCGTCTAGAAAGACGCACCCTAATATTGAAAAATTTCTGAGAAAAAAAAAGTCATTCTCATACAACACATTCACTATGCGTCCTTCACTTACTGGTGCCATGTATATTAATCATTTGTCCGATTTTGATTGTATGGCAATGGCATACTAGTCAAGAGATAAAGTCTCTCGCCTCTGCTAGCAAACAGAGCATGTTTAAGCTTGTGGTTCGGCTCCAGGAAGATTTATAGTGTTGAAAATACTTGTAATAGTTAAGTACTGAGGTTACATCATATAAAAGGCTGAATTAGATAGGTAAAATTATAGTGTAATGACTCAGCATACAAATCTACGTCCCTATCGGTCAAGCCAATTAGTTGACCGTCCAAGCTTACTTGAGCCTGGGCGCTGCCTTACATTCGTCTGGGAAGACGCACAGGTATTTTTCAATTTTTTTTTTTAGGGAAAATTGCTTTTTGTAAGCCGGAAAATACAGTATTTATAATTCGGTCGAGCTCGCACGGTCCCGCATCAAGGTCATACGTTCATTAGGGTGGCATTCTCAGCATAAAAAAGTGCGTCTTGTAAGCCGGAAAATACGGTATATATAACAGGAGCACCAGACCCGGATATGGCAGCATTATTCAATGCGTGAAAGAATGCTAGATTTGTAAACGTGCAAGATGGATTCTGACGAGAAAAATCCTCTGGCACAACACAGTGAACCCACTTTCCTAGCAGTAGATCTTGCAGTTGATTCAATATAATCTTTACACTTCATGAACCAAATAGGCGTAGCGATTCATTCTTCTGGAGGTTAGCGTCAGCCATACTGATGAAAAGCAGAAAGGAGTTTAGAGGCGTTAAAATTAACAAGCCATTCTTTGCCCCAGTTAACAATAGACTGTAGGTTGTTTTTTTTTTTTTTTTAGATCAGTCGCTAATTTGGCCTTATCTAACTGATTAGACTCAACATCGAGACAGGAGTAAATGGTTGTCATCAGTATAGATACCAAGCTGTGAGCTGGTGCCATCAGGAAGATCGTTAATGAAAATTAAAAACAAAGTGGGACCAAGGACAAAGTCTTAGGGGATACCTGCATGAGTACAGAAGGATCTAGAAGAGTGGCCGTTCAAGACAACTTCCATGTCAAGATTTGATTAGAAAGACTGAATTCTCTGGTACGACACAGTGGATCCACTTTCCTAGCAATAGATGCAGCTATTGATTCAATATAGTCAATCCTCCTCATGCAAACGTGAGCCGAAGAAGAGTTAATGGAAAACAATTGATATGAAGTCAATTCCTATTTTGAAGAAGATAAAATATCCATGTCCTGTTTCGGGAAGTGGATCTATTAAAAGTGGCAAGGGTCAAGCTGGGAAAAGCCGCCACCCTCATCCTCACCTCAAACTGTCAAAATTATTTCAAAATATGTACTCAAGCTGTCAAGAACATGACATACAATTTTTTCGCATAAATTTCCAGTGCCAACTTCGATTTGAACTTTGACATTAAGAAAGTTAGTATGTGGTTGATATTAAATGTCGCTCAACTCCCGTTTCCCCGTGTATATTTTTTTATTCTATATATATATATATATATATATATATATATATATAAATAAACACTGCCAGGAATGACGGAAGCTTGGAATGATAGCCATTTTATTTTTAGGACAGGTCTCCCACCAGCCGTAGTCTCCAATTTCGTAAACCAAAACAGCTTCAAGTAAGGGTAAATATTTACTTAGGCCTTTGTTATGAAAATGCATTGAATATAAAAAAAATGTAAGGGATTATTATTGGTCAGGAATTAAAATGTTACTGATAGAATAGGGTTATTTTTAACAGATAAACATTTGTTAAAGAAATGCTTTGAAAATAAAGAAGAAAGGGATTGTCACTGGTCAGGAATTAATGCAAGTGTTGACTGAACAGAATACACAATAGATAAACTTTACACTAGAAATGCATTGCAAATCATTTGTACAATAGATAAACTTTTACTCTAGAAATGCATTGCAAATGAGGAAGCAAGGGATTGTCTGTGGTCAGGAATTAATGCAAGTGTTACTGACAGAATACAGCTATCGTATGTACAATAGATAAACTTTTACTCTAGACATGCATTGCAAATAAGAAAGAAATGGATTGTCAGTGATTAGGAATTAAGGCAAGTGTTACTGATAGGATAAGGCTATTATATTTATAACCGACAATCATTTACTACAGAAATACTTTGGAAATAAGGAAGAAAGGTTTTGTGATGTCAACAAACACTCGTTGTCACTTTTGCGATGTCAATAAATACTTTTTGTCACTTTTGTAAAGCTCGTTGGAGTAGAGACTTTGTAATCGCAGATACAACTATAGTAACGCCGTTGAACAATACTGGTGTCAAACCCCTTCTAATATCATTCGCACTAATAATACTTGCTCGATAATATTCTGATCTGAAATAGTATAGTGAATAGAGTAAAGAATAGCGTTCCGTATAGTAATAGAGGATAGACTAGAAATAACGATCCGTATAGTAATG